CAACAGTAAAAGAATAAGCAAACAACCCCTGCCCCCAAATAATCTCATTAAAAAGTGGGCAGTGGGCTGGGTGTTGTGGCTCATGCCTGTAATTTCAGGAGGCCAAGGCAAGTGGATTACCTGAGGTCAGGAATTTGAGACCAGCCTGGACATCATGGTGAAACCTTGTCTCTACTAAAAATACAAAAATTAGCTGGGCGTGGTGGTGAGCACCTGTAATTCCAGCTACTTGGGAGGCTGAGCCAGGAGAATTGCTTGAACCTGGGAGGTGGAGGTTGCACCAAGATCCTACCACTCCCCCCCCGGCGGGGAAAAAAAAAACCAATCAAAAAAAAAAAAAAAAAAAAAAAAAAGTGGGCAATGGACATGGATAGATACTTCTCAAAAGAAGACATGCAAATGGCCAGCAGGTATATTTAAAAATGCTCAACACCACTAATCATCAGGGAAATACAAATCAAAACCACAAGAAGGTATCATCTTACCCCAATCAGAATGGCTATTATTAAAAAGACAAAAAATAGCAGATGCAGCAAGGATGTGGAGAAAAAGGAACTCTTTACATTGTTGGTGGGAGTGTAAATTAATACAGCCACTATGGAAAACAGTATGATTTCTAAAGCAAACTAAAAATTGAATTACCATTTCATCCTACAGTTTCACTAATGAGGTTTTATTCAAAGGAAAAGAAACCAGCATATCAAAAGGATACCTGCATCGTTACGTTTATTGCAGCACAAACACTAATATGTTACAGATGACATATTAATGTGGCTGTATGTGATTGTAAATATATAGAAAAATGTTAAGTGGATTAGCTTTGATTATCTGTTGACAGGCTGTTGGAGTGGCTGGAGTTGCTTTGAATGGACGTAGAAAAATCGAGAAGACATAAAATGTAAAAGTTACAGTTAGGCCAGGGGTGGTAACTCATGCCTGTTATCTCAGCACATTGGGAGGCTGAGGCACAAGAACTGCTTGAGACCAGGAGTTTCAGACCAACCTGGGAAACTAGCAAGGCTCCATCTCTGCAAAAACTAAAAAAATTAGTAGGTATTGTGGTGTGTGCCGGTAGTCCCAGCTACTCAACAGGCTAAGGCAGGAGGATCACTTGAGCCCAGGGGGTCAAGGCTGCAGTGAGCCAGGATTGTGCTACTGGACTCCCACCTGGGTGCCTGGGCAACAGATTGAAATCCTGTCTCTAAAGTAAATAAGTAAAGTCACACTTATGCCAAGTTATATATGTATGCATGTGTGTATGTAAATATTTATTTTAATAAAAGGACATGCAAGTGTTGGATGGTCTGTTTTTCTCCACTGGTTTGAGACATGGGCTTAAAGTTAAATCAATGAACAAAATGAGTTATATTCATTATGAAATCTGCTTCTATAGGAAGACTTTTTCCAATGTATCAAATAGATTTTCTTTTCTACTTGAATTTTATGGCATTTAATAAAATGATGTATTCTTAGAAGATGTATTCTTCTCAATTACTTGTCTGGTATACAGTAAGGTGTGACTCATGGACAAAGATTTTTCCACATACAATGTATAATGTACAGTAGTCACAGGGCTTCTCTGTAGTATGAGTAACTTAAAACTGGTTCTGAGTTCTGTGAAAAAGACTTTTTCACTTTCAATAAATACACTTTTACGCATGTGTAAATGCTGAAGAATACTGAGAACTGATTTCTGTGTGAAGTTACTCTCACATTTGCTCTTTTGTTGTCTCCTTCTGGTGGAAACGTTCTGATAAATTCCAGGTGAAGTGTCTTCAGTCACTGTTCTTATAGGCTTTGTTCTCCGAATCGTTTTTAATGTATAACAGGATTTGAATTATTGTTTTTTGTCGTGTGTGAATTTACTATGTTCAGGTCATTAACTTTTCAGTGGAAGATTCCTTAGTTATCATAGTCATAAAGTTTCTCTCCAGCATAAATTTTCTGATATATAATAAAGTATGACTTTTAAAGAAAACCCTACCCACATTCAGTACAAACAGAAAATTACTCTCCCCTATGAATTATCTGATGCATAATTAAATGTTTGAGTATATGTTTTCTTATATTTTCTGAATTTGCAGTATGATTCATTTTAAAAAATTAAATTAAAATGCATTTTTGGCTAGGTTCAGTGGCTCACATCTGTAATCCTAGCACTTTGGGAGGCCAAGGTGGGAGGACTGCTTGAAGCCAGGAGTTTGAGACCAGCCTGGGTAACAAAGCAAGGCCTCATCTCTCCAAAACAAAAAAAAAAACAAAAAAAAAAAAAAATCCAGGTGTAGTGGCACACACCTGTGGTCTGAGCTACTTGGAAGGGTAAGGCAGGAGGGTTGCTTGAGCCTAGGAGTTGAAGTCTACAGTGAGCTATGATCATACCACTGCACTCCACCCTGGGTGACAGAGTGAGACCCAGTCACTAAATTTAAAAAAACATTAAAATTAATAAAATAGAACAAAATGCATTTTTATTAAAACATTTAAACAGTAAAACTATCTTAAAATAGTTGCTGTAAATACAGATGAACTATAAGAGTGCTAGCATAAAAAGAAATGGTTGGCTTGGCATGGTGGTTCACACCTGTAATCCTAGCACTTTGGGAGTACCAGGTAGGTGGTTCACTTAAGCCAGGAGTTCAAGATCAGCCTGGCCAACATAGTGAAATCCCGTCTTCCCTAAATATACAAAAATTCACCGGGCATGGTGGTCCATGACTGTAATCCCAGCTACTTGGGAGGCTGAGGCATGAGAATCGCTTGAACCCAGGGAGGTGGAGCTTGCAGTGAGCCAAGACTGCAGCAGTGCACTCCAGCCTGGGTGACAGATCAAGGCTCTATCTCAAAAAAAAAAAAAAAGAAGAAGAAGAGAAAAGAGGAGATATGGCTAATGTACAGTGTTTTCCCTAGTAAAGTCTATATTCCACATGCCTTCGATCTATACTAACCTTTGAGTTCTACTTAACATTTAGCTCTCCCAATTCACTCATAGTTTCCCATAATTTATTCCTCAATCAATTCACAAGTGCCCCTTGAGATGCAAGAAAGTCTTTCTCTCTTCTAGAGATTAATCCTGTGTTGACAAAAGGTCAAGTAGCTCTTTTACAGTTTTTTTCTTTGGGAGTGTAACAATCTATTCTCCAAATATGTGCTTGAGAATAAAGGCTGAGAATCACTAGCTCATTAATCCTACTAAGTTAATTTTTCAAAACTTGGGACTCTATACCAGTCTTCATCAACCCCATTTTCTATTAATTATACAAAGGAAAAATCATAGTATTAAAAAAGACATCGGAGAAGCTTTTAGTCAATCCCTTCCATTTGCTAAAATTTGGCAGCTACCGAAAGAAAATCTGAAACCACCAGAGGTAATTTTCTCTTATGTATCAAAGTTTGTAAAGGTTTTAACAAATGAGCGAATGCCTTAAGACTTTTAGCAACAAAAGACTGGAATAAAGTAATGCTGCAAATCTAAGCATTTTCATTTAGAAGTCAGTAATTTTGGTAATTTAGAAAATATATTTTTGGTCTTGATACTTCTTCAATAGAAACAGCTATCTCAATGAGTTGAAAACTTGTGCCAGTGGCAGAATAGGTGGTACAGACTAGTACTTCCTTTGAGAACTAAAAAAGGTGGATGAAAATATTAAACACATTTAATTTTTTGAAGGCGTAAGAAAGTTACCACAGCAGTGAGAAACTGCAGGAATAAAACAGAGACAAGACATAATGTCTGAAATTTGGGACTGTTTATAACTAAGAGGTATTTGCTAATTCTGAAGGCAAATACTGGGCAAGAGAGGCTGGAGAGAATTTTTGACAAATTCAAGTGACTGAAGGACAAATACTAGAATTCAAGTCTTTCCAAAGAGGAGGGGCCTGACATACCTCCCAAAGTCCTAAGTCCTAAAATTATCCTAGAAATAAGGTTTATATGTTCACATTTTGAACATATAATAAAATAAGAGAAGTCTTTCAGAGACTCAAGTCCAGTTTCAAATAATCTCAATACATGACCGGATAAAGGCGATCAGGAATTACTAGTGACCTAGCCTAATCACCTGTTAGAAGCTATGGTAAATTTTCCGTGGAAGAAGGTATTATCCAGAGCATCTTATTACCTCTACAATTTTAATATATATTGTCTGGCAAGTGATATAAAAAATCATGATATAAGGAGATAGGACATCAGCAAAACTGGAGAAAAACACCAACCATTAGAAACAGGCCAACAGGAGAGCTAGGTAATAAGGCTATCCCTAAAAGAAACAGAGAGAAAATGAGGCAGATGCATAAATAGATAATAGCTAGGAATTTCCCAAAATGCATGTGTTTGCACACACACGCAAGCACACAACACACACATTCTAAAAACCACTAAGCCACAAATTTAAAAATCATTATAAACTCCAAGAAGGATAAACACATAGAAAAATTACACCTAGGCATATCAATGTGCAACTGTTAAAAAGACAAATAGATAAATTTCAAAGAAGACAGAAAAGCAGATTTCTTACAAAGGTAATTGTATAAAGCTTACTTCTCAATAAAACAATAAAAGACAGACCAAAAGAAAATATCATCAAAATACTAATAGAAAACAACTTTCAACTTAGAATTCTATATTCAATAAAAGTATCCTTCAAAAATGAAGGCAAAATAAAACACTGCCAACAAACAAAAAACAATTTGTCACCAGCAGACTCACAGTAAAAGAAATACTAAAAGGTGTTCTTCAGTAAGGAAAAAAAAAACAATTTTAAAGGAAAACTTAAAGGACAGGAAGGAATAAAAAAGTAATGAAAATGATAAATATGTGGATTAATTTAAATGGATATTGACTCAAATAATGATTGGCTATATTCACCATATACAGAATCCAAATATACAACATCAATAACATATGAGGGCTAAATAAATGGAATTAATGTTATAACTTTTCCCCTTGTCCTGAAATGTTGTTAGTACTAATTTACATTAGCTTTTAATCAGTACGCATATTATATTAGTATCTGACATAGTACATTTAAGGCAAAAAATTACTAGTGATAAAAAGAAACATCTAATAATGATAATGTGTCAATTAACCAGGAAAATTGTAACAATTCTAAATTGTATGTAAAATCAGAGACAAAATATATAAAGCAAAAATTAGTAGCTCTCAAGTAGACAAATTCACAATTATTTGTAAAATTACAACACACTTCTTTCAGTATCTGATAGAAGACAAAAAAAAGTCTATTCAAATACAGAGAATTTGAAAAACAAAATTAATTAAGATTAGTTTGTAGAGAATCCGAGAAGATAAAAGGAGAAGTCTTCCAAATGTTCAACTACATTTTATCTTCTAATGAAACAAACTCATGGTAATCTAGCAAGTAACTAACATGTAGAGAATGTACTAACAAAATTGGAAAAAAATTTAGGGTTTGACATCCATTTTCTTAATTTGTCCTATTTTTCAAACAGGAATTGGTAACAACAAACATCCACAAAGTGCAGGTTTCTGTGGTCAAAGCTGAGGATCTAAAGTGCTGCTATCTAGAGCTGGGTCCCTGTAGCTAAGTTCCATGATCTTAGGGCCAGTTCTAAGGTGATAAGTAGTTAGAGGACTGTTGCGTACATCATTGGGAAAATAGGCTTTTGATAAATAGGCCAGGAGCAATTTAGACCTCCTTGGTACCTGCTGCCCTGGCATACACCAACAGATATAACAATAAATAATGGTGACTTCCCAAAGAAAAGAGAAAAAAAGTAGAGTCCTTTCTTTCTGTCTTTAGTGTTAATTTTCACAAAAATTGCTGATTTATTTTCAGTACAGATCTGAATTGCCCTCCTTTTGTCTGGATCTGTGTCCTTAGGCTGCTTAGACAATGTAAAATTATCACTCTACTCATTATGAATTTTATTGTGACAATATTGAATAGTACCCAGAACATGAAAAACTCAACAGCCCTGAATTTATAAAACTGTTTGCCCAAAAAGTGAAACAAGACTGCAAGTCATCTCCTTGCACATTTAGTATTATTTGCAGGAGCTTGACAACACCAATATCTGTTAAGTAACCAAATATGGCCACTATACATTGCTTAAACACTCTCAATAGTATCTCCCCATATGTGTAACTGGATATCAGCTATATAATCCAGGTGTTCATAATTCTAACTAGATAGAAGAAAGCTGGCCTTGGTCACCTCCTGAGTCCCCATACCATAATTGTGGCATTGGGCACTCTACTTTCCTAGGGTCAGATTTCTGAGGCATACCGAGTTGTGGCTTCCAGTTTAAGATTTTCCCCAAGTCACTGCACTTATAGGGTTTCTGTTTAGTATGAATTTTCTGGTGTTTAATAAGATTTGATCTGATGGTGAAGGCCTTTCCACACTCAGCACATATATATGGTTTCTCTCCTGTGTGAATTCGATGATGCTCATGGAGTTGTGACTTCTTAATGAAAGACTTCCCACAGTCACTGCATTTATAGGGTTTCTCTCCAGTATGAATTCTCCTGTGTCTATTTAAGTGTGATTTCTGGATGAAGGATTTCCCACATTCAGTACAAATATAGGGTTTCTCTCCTGTATGAATTCTCTGATGCATGATAAGTGTTGATTTTCTTGCAAAGGCTTTCCCACATTCACTGCACTCATAATGCCTTTCTCCAGTATGGGATTGCTGATGTATATGGAGACCCGACTTCCGAGTGAAGGCTTTCCCACAGTCACCGCATTTATAAGGTTTTTCTCCAGTGTGAATTTTCTGGTGTGTAAAAAGATTTGATCGGTCAGTAAAAGCCTTTCCACATTCAGCACATCTATAGCGTTTCTCTCCTGTGTGAATTTGCTGATGTACATGGAGTTGTGATTTCTTAGTGAAGGATTTCCCACAAATACTGCATTCATAGGGTTTCTCTCCAGTATGAATTCTTTCATGTGTAATAAAATGTGATTTGTGGAAGAAGGCCTTACCACATTCAGTGCAAACATATGGTTTTTCTCCTCTATGAATTCTCTGGTGCATACTTAGTGTTGACTTCTGAATGAATGCTTTCCCACATTCACTGCATTCATAATGTCTCTCTCCAGTATGACACTTCTGATGTATCCTGAGCCGTGACTTCCAGGTGAATGATTTTCCACAGTCACTGCATTTATAAGGTTTCTCTCCAGTATGAATTTTTTGGTGCTTAATGAGATTTGACCTGTCCGTAAAGGCCTTACCACATTCAGTACACATATAGGGTCTTTCTCCAGTATGAATTTTCTGGTGTATAATGAGATTTGTCTTGTGAGTGAAAACCTTCCCACATTCTGAACATATAAAGGGATTCTCTCCTGTGTGAATTCGCTGATGCACATGGAGTTGTGATTTCTTAATAAAGGATTTCCCACAGTCACTGCATTCAAAGGGTTTTTCTCCAGTATGAATTCTTTCATGTGTGATAAAATGTGATTTCCGGATAAAGGCCTTCCCACATTCAGTACATACATAGGGTTTTTCTCCTGTATGGATTTTCTGATGCATACTTAGTGTTGATTTCCTTGTGAAGGCTTTTCCACATTCAGTACATTCAAAGTGTTTCCCTCCAGTATGAATTTTTTTATGTATATTAAGGTTTGAATTCTGACAGAAGTTTTTCTCAGATTTGCTGCACACATAGGGTTTTTCTCCAGAATGAATTCTCTGGCATCTGAACAGATCTGACTTCTGGATAAAGGCTCTCCAGTAGTCACTGCATTTATAGTAATTCCCCTCATTAGGAGTTTTCTGATGGTTTGACTTGAGGAAAAAATCCTTCTCATATTCACTGCATACACAAGGTTTCTCTCCTCCATAAAACCTCTGATGGCCATCAAGTTGAGACTTCTCAGTGAAGACTGCCTCACATTCATGGCATTTATGCTGCTTTTCTTCAGAACAAACACTCTCATGTGCAAAGGCATGTGAATTCTGGGAGAAAACATTTGCACAGTCAGAAAACAAATAAAGGCTGTCTCTAGTATGAATTTTTTGATGTTGAATGAGAGCTTGCTTATGATGGAGAGGTTTCCTACATTGATAACATTCACAAGCAGTCACTACTGTATGAGAATTCATATGAGTAAAAATATCACCATCTCCAATAATCTCATCAGAATTTTCTGTTGCATTTCCATTATATAAGGTTGTAATAGGCTCCAAATTCTTTCCAAATGAGTTACAGTTATGGAGTCTTTTTCTTGAGGAAACCAAGTGTGTGTTTACATGAACTATTTCCCCAATATTCTTATAGTCACAGACCCTGTCATTAGCTAGTGTTTTCTTGTGAATGAAGGTAACACGACTTAAAGGTTTGTTCTGGTTTTCTCCACATCTTCTTGTGTGTTCATCATCTTTCCACAACTTTTCTAAAATGGAATATGGGTCATCTCTTGTGAAGAGATTAATTCTCTCAGACTGGAAAGAAACTTCTTCAGACATTCTCTGTTGTAAAGGTTCAAAACCAATTTTCCCATCTAAAAAAGAAAGAAAAGAAAAGGCAGACAGAAAGAACAATTAACAGAAAATAAGGCCAGGTGCGGTGGCTCATGCCTGTAATTCCAGCATTTTGGGAGGCTGAGGTGGGCAGATCAGTTGAGGCCAGGAGTTTCAGACCAGCCTGGGCAACATGGCAAACTCTGTCTCTACAAAAACACTACAAATACTGTCTCTACTAAAAATTATCCAGGTGTAGTGCCACATGCCTGTGATCCTAGCTACCTGAGTGGCTGAGGCAAGAGAATGGCTTGAAGGCAGAGGCTGCAGTGAGCTGAAATTGTGCCACTGCACTCTAGCCTGGGTGACAGGGCAAGACTCTGTTTCCACACACACACATACAAAATAAGACTAACTGATACACAGAGTTGATCCAAGGCAAACACAGGGAAATGAGACAGGTTATGTAAGTATAACAAATGTACATGAACATTTTAAATATACATAAATATATAGGTATAACAATCTATTTATATATAATAAATAATACAATGATATATAGTAATAATATTAATACATTTATGACATGATAAACAATACCATTTAGATGTGCTGTTCTAAGTTATTAATTTGCCTAAATTTTATCCCAGCCAGGTGTCGTTGCTGGCTCATGCCTATAATCCCAGGACTTTGGGAGGCTGAGATGAGAGGATTGCTTGAGTCCAGGAGTTTGAGACCAGCCTGGGTAACATAGTGAGACCCCCATCTTTACAGATAAAACAAAAAATTAGCTGGGTATAGTGGCATGTGCCTATAGTCCCAGCTACTCAAGAGGCTGAAGCAGGGGGATCACTTGAACCCAGGTGTTCGAAGCTGCATTAAGCTACAATCGCACCATTACACTCCATCCTGGGCAACAGAGTGAGACCCTGTCTCTCTTTTTTTTCCCTTTTTTGAGACAGGGTCTCACTCTGTTGCCCAGGCTCTGGAGTGTAATGGCGAGATCATAGCTCACTGCAACCTCCACCTCCTGAGTTCAAGGGATTCTTGTGCCTCAGCCTCCTGAGTAGCTGGAACTACAGGTGCATGCCACCGTGCCTGGCTAATTTTTATATTTTTAGTAGAAACAGGGATTCACCATGTTAACCAGGCTGGTCTCGAACTCCTGACCTCAAGTGATCTATCCACCTTGGCCTCTCAAAGTGCTGGGATTACAGATGTGAGCCACCAGGCCCAGCTGAGACCTTGTCTCTTAAAAACAAAAACAAAAAGCACTTTATCGCAAACCTTTGCTATTCGTATTATTATTGTTTCTAGTTTACAGATGAGGAAACTCAGCCATAGAAGAGGTTCGTAATTTGCCTAAATCAAATGTTTAGTAATTGGGGAAGAAATTCCAATTTGGTGCAAATGTAGTAGAACTGCATGGTGAGTGAGTGAGGTGTCAGAAGAACAAACTCTGTGGCTTAAAAGAAGTATTTCTGAGTCTAGATTCTTATCTTTAATCTGTAAATCCTCACAGTCTTCCTGTTTTGTGTTTTCTCTATGATCCACTGTGCCCTAAATACCAATTTATTGGTGCTTATAGTAAAATTATGACAGCTTAATCATCCTAAGTTGGCCAAACAGTAAACAGTAAAATGTATATATATTTGTTATATTTCTTTTTTAAAAAAATTACCAGTCCAAAGTCTCATCTGAATATTTGTTATATTCATATAGACTCTCTCATTTCTCTGTTTGCTTGAATCAACTCTATATATCAATTGGTCTATTTTCTTTTGAGATGGAGCCTCAATCTGTCACCCAGGCTGGAGTGGCTGGACTGCAGTGATGTGATCTTGGTTCACTGCAACCTCCGCCTCCTGTATTTAAGCAATTCTCCTGCCTCAGCCACATGAGTAAGTGGGACTACCGGCATGTGACCCCATACATGTATTTGTAAAAATACTAATTTTTGTATTTTTAGTAGAGATGGGGTTTCACCATGTTGGCCAGGCTGGTCTCAAACTCCTGACCTCAAGTGATCTGCCTGCCTCAGCCTCCCAAAGTGCTGGGATTACAGGTATGAGCCACCGTGCTGGGCCTATGGTTCAAATCTTCATCCCTGGTTTAGGGTACTGATATGATAAATGCATCTAGTAGCAGATGTAACAGGAAAGAACCAGACATCAGAGGAGGAGAAGTTGTCCATCAAACCTATGTCCTTCCTTCACAATATTAAGCTTGTAGCCAAGTACATGGCTGCCTCGTAACACTAGGTTTGTCCAGCTTCATTTGTCACTAGGTAGGACTGAGTAACGCTTTTCCACTAATCAGTGGGAGTAAAAATCGTATCCGTTGTGATAAGGCCAATGTCTTAAGAAAGTGGGTTTTTCTCCCACAAACCTCTTCTTTTCCCCCCAGTATATTCCAACTTGGCAGCAACCAGTTCTGTGAGGCTGGCAATGCCCTAAGGCAGGGGTCAGCAAACTGAAGTCCTTGGGCCAAATCCAGGTCCCTACATGAGAGCTAAGAATAGATTTTACATTTTTTTAATGGTCAAAAAATTTATCAAAAGAATACTACTTCATGATGTGAAAAATATATGAAATTCAAATTTTAGTGTCTACAAAGTTTTTATTGGAACACAGCCACACACATTCATTGATATATTTTCTAGCTTTTTTGGGACTACAGCTGCAGAAATGAGTCGTTGTAACAGCAGCCATATGGTCCACAAAGCCTATTTACTTTTGTGCCTTTACAAAAAATTTGTCAGCCCCTGCCCTAGGGGATGGTGGTTCAATGACTTTCTAGAAACTTTGTCCCTGAATGCCCATGGAAACAGAGTTGCCCGGTATTATGGCCACAGAAAAGGGATGAACACTGCAGTCTATTTTGTTACTGAATCTGAATATATAGTCTTTTCATTTTCTTCATTTAATCTTCCTTTTTCTGATCTTTTGTTTCTATTCAAAATTCATTGTTCTTCAGTAAACATTTGGGGTTCTCTGCTTTAAAAACTAATTTCAAATTTCACCACAACTCTAGAGAGGCTCTCTCTTTTAACTTAAAAACAACAACAACAAAAAGATACTCTGAACCATTCATATTTATACTTGAATTGGCATAGATGTGCATGTTAGCAAATCTATAATGCACAAAGACTGAAATTTTCAAGATTTCATGCAGTTATCCTCTCTTTCAAATTAGTTTTCCTAGCCCTTTGAATTGCTCCTAGAAGAAAAATTTAAAAATTTTTCTGAAATAGAGCAAAATGACCTCCTCTGCCTATAACACAAATTCAAGAATATAATTTCACTATTTGCTACAGAAACTTTGCTTTTTAATGTATAAGGGTAAAAGACTCAGTTATCATATAATTTAATGTAGGTTTCTCTGAATTTCTGGAGGTTGTATGCTGCAATAGGTCCAATTCAAGGAGTAAGTGAAAGCTGAGCACAAAATATGTGTATTATTTGTCTTTTTTTGTTTGTTTTTTTTTTGAGATGGAGTCTTGCTCTTGTTGCCCAGACTGGGGTGCAGTGGTGCAGTCTTGGCTCACTGCAACCTCTGCCTCCCAGGTTCAAGTGATTCTCCTGCCTCAGCCTCCTGGGTAGCTGGGATTACAGGCGCACGTCACCACACCCGGCTAATTTTTGTACTTTTAGTAGAGATGGAGTTTCGCCATGTTGGCCAGGCTGGTCTTGAACTCCTGACCTCAAGTGATCCACCTGCCCTGGCCTCCCAAACTGCTGGTATTATATGCATGAGCCACCGTGCCTGGCCAAAATATGTGTATAATTTGAATAGGCAGATAGATCACAAAATAATTGAAGAGTTCAATGAAGAGGGAGCATTAAAGAAAATGTTAAAATGGGGTAGAAATGGTTACAGAAAACAGGAACCAATGTGAGTTTCAAAGATGAGGCCATATTCTTTCTCTAGCTTACAAACCTACTGAGAGGAGAATCTGTCACATGTTAGCTATTAAGTAGTAACTTTAGTTTTGTTCCATGTAGCAATGACAGGATAAACACAGCACACAATGTTTTAAGTAATGAAATCTATCAGTAGCATCTGAGATGAAATACTGAAAAAGAAAAAAATGGGATTATCACATACAAATAGGATTAGAATAATCCAGGCATGAGAAAATAGACATGGTTGTAGGTGATACGGCTGGGAGGTAAGAAAAAGGCATCTAAGTGGTGTTTTCTAAACGAAAAAAATAAGTAGAAGGGCAGAATGAATGATCTGAGAAGATAGATTAGAGGGAAAAGTAAAAAACTACAAGAGAGGATGATGACATTTTGAAAGGCAAGCCACCTGCTTTTAGCGTGCTACATTGTATCTTGTCTTCCTTCATGCAAACAGCCTGACCCTGATAGGCACAAGGTATTGGTCTTTCCCCCAGTGCCGTATACAACAGGGCCAATGCCTGACTGAGACACACAAAGAACAGTCACAGTGTAAAAGTTGTTCCCATGAGCCAATTATCACTCAGAGCTTATGCTGCCGCTGAGACACATAATCTGAGACACAGATAGGTCCGGGCTGAGACACATGGCCCAGGGCAACATAATGAGGATTTTTGGGGACAGCTCCAATCAAGTCCAAATGGGGCTACAGTAAGCAAGGAAAGGACTGTCTTGGGGTGTTTATGGCAGGGGGTGGGGCTGGGCTGACTATTCCCTTATGTAGTTGGAATTTCCCACCAGCATCAATGGAAGGAACACATGGGCTTTTGTCTCCATTTGTCCAGGTGTGGGGCAGAAAAAGAGAAGGGTAAGGCTTAGAAAATGTCAGCAGTTGAACATAAAAAATGGAGGATACAGAATGAGATATTCAAAATATTTTATAGGGAAATACAAATTAAATAATAATTAGAACGTAAAACCCATCAGATTAGCTAAATTATTAAAAATTTGGATAATACCAGGTAGGTAGGGGTAGGGATGTGGGGAACCTAATACCCTTGTACAAAGTTCCAGCTATTGTAGAGTGACACAGCTAATCTGGAAAATAATGTGCTTATACCACATCATATTAAATATTAGTACACTCAGTGATAAAGTAATCCCACTCTTCTTCCTTAAGAAAGTCTCATCTCTGATAAGAATAATTCATGAAAAAATGTATTGCAGTAGTGTTTGTAGTAGCCGAAAAACTGGACAAGTAAAATGTGGTATATATGTGCACTACAGAATGATATGTGGCAATTAGAAAAATACATTGCAACATGGACCAATTTGAGAAAAAAAAAACTGAATAGGATATTGTAATTCACAATACCAACAACTCAGATTTTACAAATATCCCACAAGTTCAAGGATTAATGGCATAACATGTCAAATATATTGGAACAGCTGCCTCTTGGGAGGATAAAAATGAGTATGGAGAGTGAGGATTGAAAAGAATAAATGAGGCCGGGCGCGGTGGCTCAAGCCTGTAATCCCAGCACTTTGGGAGGCCGAGGCGGGTGGATCACGAGGTCAAGAGATCGAGACCATCCTGGTCAACATGGTGAAACCCCATCTCTACTAAAAATACAAAAAATTAGCTGGGCATGGTGGCGCGTGCCTGTAATCCCAGCTACTCAGGAGGCTGAGGCAGGAGAATTGCCTGAACCCAGGAGGTGGAGGTTGCAGTGAGCCGAGATCGCGCCATTGCACTCTAGCCTGGGTAACATGAGTGAAACTCCGTCTCAAAAAAAAAAAAAAAAAGAAAAGAATAAATGAAATAAGAGGGGAGCCATAAACGCATTGATGATGATACGCACAATAATTTTTTAAGAAGGTAGATCTGTGAGTATTTGAATGCATAAGAAAATGATCTAAGACCCTGATGGAGGTAGAAAGAATAAAACTTTTCTAGGGAAAGACAGAAGCAAAAAAGCAGGACTCTAGAAAGTACGGTGAGACATGATCAAAAGAATTGGTAATTGTGGCACATTCTCTCCTAAAAAGCCAAGCAAAGAAGGCATTGATATGAGAAGGGGTCTTAGGTGGGGTTAGCATTTAGATATCCAAGGGTCATTGTCCAATAACTGCTCTATCCAAGCAGTTTTAAAAGTCATATTAATGACACATCAAAGTTGTGCATAGCCTCTCCCAGTACGAATGCAGCTGAGTCATACTGTCTACCATGTTCTTGGGTCCCATCTAACCTGGACAGCTCTGACTGGAGATCCCACCATTCAACATACATGGCTCTTCTTGTTCCAAGTTGAAGATGACTTCTGGTTTGGGAACTTGACACCCTGTTAACAGGAGATGATAGAGGACTTGGTTTCAGAGGCTATACAATGAAGCATTCCATTTGCTTTCCAGAAAAGTTCACTGGGAACAGAGGAATATTCACACTACCCAAAAGAGATTGTTAAGAACATGGGACAAAGTAAGGACAAAACCATTACACACTTCAGGTGTTCTGCAGTCTTTAGAAGTCCCACATACCTCAGAAAACACAGACTTCAGCAATTCTACTGAGAAAAAAATAATACTCAATTAGCTGCAGCCTAATGTATGCCCAGCAGAGCTGTGCTTACCCACTGAGATCAAGTTGAAATAGTTCTCCAGCATCACATCTCTGTACAGACTTTTCTGAGCAGTGTTTAATTGTTGCCACTCATCCCTGCTGAAGTCTACAGTTACATCCTTGAATGAAACTGATTCCTGTAAAAAAAAAAAAAAAACAGAAAAACCCTATTCAATGTGAAGGATAGAGATTACAGAATGGAAACAAGATAGGCCCTTATTTTTAATGTGATACAGTATACTATAAAGAACTTCTACAACTCAACAACAACAAACAACATTATTTTAAAAATGGGTAAAAAGCTTAAATAGACATTTCTCCAAGGAAGACATTCTAATAGTCAATAAGCACATGAAAAGAAGCTCAACGTCATTAATCTCTAGGGAAATACACATTAAAACTATAAGGTATCACCTCACACCCATCAGGTTGATAAAGAAAATGTCTCAAATTGATTATAATGATGGTTGTACAACTGATTTATATACTAAAAATCAATACATGGTACACTTTAAATGGTAAACTGTGTGATGTATGAAGGGGAGGGTTGTTTTTTGGCACTGCCATTTCCAGATGGGATACAATAGCTTGGCAGTCCAGTGCTTTTTTCAAGAAGGAACAGTAAATGCCAGATGCAATACTGACATAGTCTGTTTTAAAGCACTGGAAAGCTGCTGAGGTTACAAGAAATGTAGGGGCTAAGACTGGAGAGGATACTCAAGACTGAGGCTGATTAGTGCAGCCACTTTGACAGTGGAGCATTTACCAGTTCTGGGTGTGGACAAAAGGTGAGAATCCAGCTATTGTCCTGGATTCTCATTTTGTCCTATCTACTGGAGAATGCAGTAGAAGGCTGCAGCTGGGTGACAGAGAAACCAGCGTAACTCAAATATGTGGCCGTTTGCTTCTCAGGATATTTGCTGAATTCTAGGGCATACAGGGCAGAAGACTAAAAATGTAAGCAAATAGCCTTTGAAGAGCAAAGCAAAAGCCTGGTATCTTTAAGAAAACAGTTGGGCATCTACCAGGAGGAGGGTCTCTAGAGGACAGAAGGGCTCTCAGCTGAAAATTCTCAGTAGTCAGGGTGATCCAGAGGTAAACTGAGTCTTAGCAGAGCTTCAACCTGGCCTTGATTCAACACTGTGCCTGACTGGATGTACGTGTTCTCCCTTCCCTCCATTTGCGGACATAAGGAAAGATGAACTCTCTGTGGAGAAAGATAACACCATCCAGATCCTCTACATCTTTTCTTTCTTTCCTTTTTTTTTTTTTTTTTTTTTTTTTTCTGAGACAAGGTCTTGCTCTGTCATCCAGGCTGGAGTGCAGTGGCATGAACACGGCTCACTGCAGCCTCAACCTGGACTCAAGTGATCGTCCTGTCTCAGCCTCCCAAGTAGCTGGGACTACAGGCACATGCTACCATGCCCAGTTAATTTCTCTATCTTTTGCAGAGATGGGTTTCGCCATGTTGCCCAGACTGGTCTCGAACTCCTGAGCTCAAGTGATCTGCCCACCTCAGCCTTCCAGGTATGAGCCCTGCCTACAACTTTTTATACCTGGTGTTTGAAACAAACAAACAACTCCTATGCATACAAAAATATAGGACCACATATCCAAAATCAGAGAAAGAAAAATTCAATACAAGCAGTTACACAGAGAATTGGAGTTAGATGAGAAGATGAATACTTTAGATAATTGTTTTTTTAAATAAAGAATCAAACCAAAGTTCAAAAGTTGAAAAATCCAATATCTAATATTAAGAAGTCCTTAAACAGGTTTAACAGCAAAATACAGAATTACTGAAATGGAAGACAAGTAAATAGAAAATATCCAAACCGAAGCAGAGGTTTTTTTTAAAGAAAAAAAAAAAACAAACAAAAAAACACAGGAACATTAAGAACATGTGTGACACAGTAAAAAGGCATAACCTATCAGAGTCTGAGGAGTTCTTGGAGAGGGCAGGGACGAAGCAATATTTGAAGAAGTAATGGCTATGAATGACATCAACTCTTAGGATTCAAGAAGCTCTTCAAATACTTCTTTACAAAACTGCAAATACTGACTGTGCAAAACAATAACAGTACTATTCTGGGAGGTTTAAAATATATGCAGAAATTAAATTCATGGGAATAATAATGCAAAAGTGGGAGGCAGTAAATAGAATTAAAGTGTTTTAGTATCCTAGTGTGGTATTGTGCTGGCCTAGAGCCAGAACCAGAGCAAAACTATTTTATAAAATACAAAACTGTTTTTAGATAAGTTGA